CTTAACTTCAAAGGAAATAACAGCGTAACTTATATATAAAATTAGCTCACTAGTCATTTGAATGGAAAGTGAGATTATCACCAACGGGACTGTAATATTCAAGTTAAGCCAAAAGTTATTCCAAGTTTCTTTGCAGGGTGGGAATGATGAGCTGTGTTAACAATTCACTATATTTTTGATGTTTCAGTCACAATCTAGACTTGGGGATTTTACTTTTTGTACCACATATCCCACAATCCTCCACCCATCATGCCCATTGGCCATGCTCAAAGGATGTTGTTGGAGCTCCAGCCCGAAAAGTAACATTTTAAAGTTCTGGGAAGCTTAATCTGTAAGGTTTCATTCTGTGAGTTGTGATCACATGGAAAGTCTACATATAGTACAAATAAGTGAAATGTATCTAGAGAAACATTAGTCTGAAACTCAAGAGTAATAAAGGCAGCATTGACTGCTGGCCTGACTTTACCTTACTATCTGTTTCATCATAGTCATGTTGAAGACATGGGCCATGCTCCCGAATCCCAAATTTTGGCTTAAAAACATTCCCTACCCTTTTTGAAGAGGCCTGAAAAGTGAAAAGGGGCCCCTGTGTCATGCATATCCCCAGCTGAAAATGGCATTGCTGGCTATATGTAATTCCTCAGTAAGACTGCAATCACTGGGCCAATTGGAGAGGGGTATGTTCATGAGGACAGGGCATGTGGGTTTCTGCCTCTTGATCAATGCAGAGGAGAAGCATCTGGGTCCACAAGTGTGTGCAGATGAAAAACCAAACACTAGACTAGTCTACCTGAAAAAAGAAAAGGAGCAATATATTTATTCTTGTAAAAGCAAACGTGGATTAACCATTATGCAAAGTATGCTATAGCATCGGCCCAGCCATATGGTAAGCCCTTGGGTAAGGCTTAAAGCAGCTATGGATAAAACTATCATCCGCTAGGCACCAGCTGTTTCTGATCCTCACAACAGCTTCTTGACACAGAGTGTTCAGCAGTGGTAATCCTCTACTTTTGATGCAACAAGCATTGATACAGCCCCACTACAGATTTCTAGCATAGAAGCCAGCACATTTTTTTTTAAAAAAAACCATCACTGACACAGAGCAGTTGCCCATCAAATTCAGAACAATACAGCAAGTAAACATTGTACAAAACCAGATTCACATTCTCCCATACTCACATATACAAATGCATGTACATATTATTGTATTAAAGGTAAAGGTAGTCCCCTGACATTAAGTCCAGTCATGTCTGACTCTGGGGTGTGGTGCTCATCTCCATTTCTAAGCCGAAGAGCCAGCGTTGTCCGTAGACACCTCCAAGGTCATGTGGCCGGCATGACTGCATGGAGCGCCGTTACCTTCCCGCCGGAGCGGTACCTATTGATCTACTCACATTTGCATGTTTTCGAACTGCTAGGTTGGCAGAAGCTAGGGCTGACAGCGGAAGCTCACGCCACTCCCCGGAATCGAACCTGCGACCTTTCGATCAACAAGCTCAGCAGCTCAGTGTTTTAATCCACTGCACCACCGGGGGCTCCTATTATTGTATTAATCCTACTGATTTCTAAATTTTAAGATATTTTAAACCATTTTGAAAGAAAAGGAAAGGATTGAGTCAACATCTAGAAAAACAAGGGGCTCATCTACACAAGTATTATAAACTGTACTCATTGTGAGTTTGCTTCTGATGTTTCTGTCCTTCCAGTAATTTTAGCCTCAGGTTAGAAACTCTGGAGCAACCCTGTGGCTTTAAGACAGTATGGATAGCAGAATCAAGTCCAATCTAGACTGGTCCGCTGTCCATACAGATCACAGTCATCATTCCCTTTCACCTGTATTTGTGATAGCTAAGAGCTCACAGGGAATGCAACAGAACCTACCAAAGCAATGTAGCTTTCTGAGGCAGAGCAACAAATGGCACCATTCCTTCATAATATCCAGATTTTATGTTAGCAATGGCCAACTGAGCTCTTTTGGCACCTGAAGCAAAACATTCCACAATTTCTGATAGTACCACCAAAATAACTGCCAATTATAGAACAGGGGTCTAATCACACTAGAGAATGAATCCACTTTAAATCTGGTTTCTGCTTCCTGCAGAATTCTGGGGTTTGTAGTTTAGGGAGAAGACTTTAACTGAACTACAAACCCCAGAATTCTGCAGGAGGCAGATACCAGGTTTAAAGTCGATTCATTCTCTGGTGTAATGAAGTTGTAGGTTGATACTGTTGATACCCTTTCTGGACATTCACAACTGGTTGCCCCTCTCTCCCTTCCAGTAGGGCTTTGGAACTCAACCTGCTCTTAATTTTGGTCAGTCAAGTCTAGAACTGTCCCACAGGTGTAGTTAGATGTCAATTCCCAGTATTTTTCATTACTGCCTATCCCAGCTAAAACTGATTAATGATGTAAATGTTCAAGCATTTTGTTAACTAGATAGATAGATAGATAGATAGATAGATAGATAGATAGATAGATAGATAGATAGATAGAGATAGATCTGATATCTTTACATGTTTTAATAGATCTTATTGTTGAGCTTTATCACTTAGGCATAAGCCAAAATGACTAAACTATTGTGCTTTGCACCAATCATGAGAAGACATGACCCACTGGAAAAAGCATGACCCACTAGAAAAGACAATCATTTTTGGTAGTCAAGTCTAGAACTGTCCCCCAGATGTAGTTAGATATCAATTCCCAGTATTCTTTATTTCTGCCTAACTCAGTTAAGACTGATGGATGATGTAACTGTTCAAGCATTTTGGGGCTCCTGGTGGTGCAGTGAGCTGCTGCATTGCTGACCAAAAGGTTGGCAATTTGAATCCCAGAAACAGGGTGAGCTTCCACTGTTAGCCCCAGCTTCTGTCAACCTAGCAGTTCAAAAACATTGAAATGTGAGTAGATCAATTGGCACTGCCTTGGCAGGAAGGTAACAGTGCTCCATGCAGTCATGTCGGCCACATTACCTTGGAGGAATCTACGGACAATGCCAGCTCTTCGGCTTAGAAATGTAGGTGAGCACCACTCCCCAGAGTCGGACATGACCAGCTTAATGTCAGGGGCAACCTTTACCTTTATACTTTGTTCAATAGATAGATAGATACATAAATAAATAGATCTGGTATTTTACATTTTTTTTAAAAAAAAATATCTTATTGTTGAGCTTTATCATTTAGGCATAACCCAAAATGACTAGACTTTTATGCTTTGCATCAATCATGAGAAGACATGACCCACTGGAAAAAGCATGACCCACTAGAAAAGACAATCAGGCAAAGAGGAAGACCACACTACAAATGGAGATGGCTTAGTCAAGGAAGCTATGGCCCTGAGTGTTGGTGGTCTCTCATTCATAGGTCACCATACATTGATGTTGACAGCAGTTAACAACCAGCACAGCCAGTCCATCTTTCCATTATTAATATGTATGTGAGTGTGTGTTTATCTGGTAAGATGAGAAAACAAGTGGGTTATAAACAGAAGACAAAATTGCCATACAATTCTAGGATTGAAGTAATTGCCAGGTAACAATCTTATCTGGAAGAATCACAGTAGATACATTCCAGTTCACATCCAGATATCGTTGCCTCTTAGAATTCCTGTGATTTTGTTTGTCAAACGGGTTACTACTATTTTCTGACAATTTTGCATGTTCTGTACATGGATTTGCTACATCACAGACATATTTTCAACTACAGTTCACATCCTTAGATGGAGTCCACATTGGGGGTAGAGTAGAGGTGACATATAGATGACAGAATGAAAACAAGGAATGGAGGGGGGGATGAAAGAGTTTGCTTATCTCGGATAAATTGTTCTTCCCTTTAATCACTTCATTAAAAAAAAGAGAGAAAGAATTCAGTCTTTTGTCTTGTTGATGAAAAAGAAACAGAACCTCTTTCTGCCATGGAGGTCAAAACCCCTGGAGAGAAAACCCTTTTTTATGTCATTAAAAAATAAACCACTGTCTCTGCTTAATACTACAAAGAAACAAATTAGAAACTAAATTGCCGATGTGCAGGATTATATGAAAATTATACACATTTGAAAGTATTCTCATCACTTTGGGCACGCAGACAGTGTCGCAAACAGAAATTATGGGTGGAAATTACTCGGAAAAATGCTAAGGTTTCAATTATCTTGGGGAAATTGCTTATATGGACTTTTTAAATATTGTCCCTGGTTTTCTGAAAGGTGTGTTGCCACAGCCTGGCTTACAGAGAATAAGCCGATCCCTAAAAGAAAAGCCACTAGAAAACACACAGTTTGTAAGCAACAACGTATAATCCATCGCTTTGCACCAGAGGTAAGAGAGACTTTCAAAGACCCCAAAGAGATGACTGCAACCAGCAAGATCTCCTTTTGTAATGTACGTTACCTTATGATAGTCCCGAGTGGAGTTAACCCTTTATTCATCTTGTTTCAGTAAACTAATTTTGGTTATCTTTTCACCTTGCCAAATGTGCCTCTGTCTGCTAAGGATCTTAATCTTACAGAAGGTATACAGATAGTCCCTGAATAAAGCCAGACAATATAGTTTTTCCAAAGGCTGAGGCATGCCATCACATTATTCATATTTTTATTTAAAAAAAACTGTAACATTATGAAATGTTGCCATAATTGATATGATCAGCCAGGACATAAGCTCAGCAAAACCTCTGCATTTTCTCTGTAAAATGAAGAACATGCTAGTATATAAAACCTGAAGAATTTATCCAGACCTGAGATCCTTCACAACAACCCTAGCTCACTTTAGTCCAATATTTCTATTCCATGGCAATTTAAAATTAGAAAGATCCAGTCTTCACATTTGTCCTCATCTCTGCTACTAGGTGAGAAACCATTTTCAGTGTTTTTCATAGCAATATGGAATTTGAAATGCCTGTCTTGCCTCCTTAGAGAGGCGGTGTCCCGATATGAATTTTCCTAGAAAACTCCAGTCTTTTTAGTTGGAAGCAAAAACTGACATCTCTAACTTCATGTACAAATGACTTACCTATTGTGTTTCCCAGCTTTGCTGCTCTTTTGTAACCACTCCACCAATTCAGTCTTCTATATCTGCCTTTGCTTCTGATGCTGGGAAAGAAACAGAAGGGAATAGTTGTGAACTGAATGATCACTTTTCTGATAAGGCGTGGAAATGTTCATTTTTGACTACTGTTCTCAGATATTCCTCTGATCATGCTGAGTGAGGTATTCTGGGAACTGTAGCCGACAATAGAGAACTTCACCTGCTCATATCTTCTATGTTACAAACTTTTCTGCACATGATTGATATGATTCACTTCTTTATTGGCTCAGAATAATTGAGGAACTATTTCAGAAATTTCCCCTCACAATTATCTCATGGTAACTCTAATTCTTAGAATGACAACTTGAAAATCCAAACATGTTGTATAGTAACCCAAAGCCCCCAAATATTAGCTGTTGATGTTGTTGTCATCGTCGTCAACCTCCTCCTCCTCCTCATCATCATCATGATGTTCCACCCTCCCAAGGATTCAGACTACAATACAATTAAAAACATACAAAAAGTAAATATTAAAATAGAATTAAATTAATTAAAATAGAAAAAACAGTCGTTATTTGAGGAAAAAGAATAAAATGCTAGGTCATCTATACTTGGAGAATTTAAGAAGGAGATAAGCTGGATGCTGGGAAACTGACAATTCTAATATTGTTTTCTCAAGTGTGTAGATTGCCATGCTTTTTGGGCATATGGGAAAGGAAACCTACATGCGCTGGCTCATAGAAGGAGATAGGTTGGACCCAAAGCATATAAGGCTCTAAAATAGGTTGGACCCAAAGCATATAAGGCTCTATAGGTAATAACCTGCACTTTGAATTGAGCCTGGAACCTTATTAGAGACCAGTGGAGCTGCTTTAACAGGAGTGTAGTAGTCTCCCTGAAGTTAGCCCCAGTTAGCAACCTGGCTGCTGATCTTTGCACTAATTGCAGCTTCTGAGCCGTCTTCAAAAGCAGCCCCTCATAGAGTGCATGTGCATAGAGTTACAGTAGTCCAACCTGGATATAACTAAGGGGTGGAGCATCATGGCCAAGTCAGATTTTTCGAGGTATGGTCACAGCTGGCACACCAGTTTTAACTGTGTGAAGGCCCTCCCAGCCAGACATGAAACCTGTGCTTCAAGTGTCAGCGCTGAATCCAGGAGGACCCCCAGACTGCGGACATGTGTCCTTGGGGGGAGTGTAACCATGTTGAGCACAGGTTGCCACCCTATACCCTGATAGGCCTCCCAACTGACCAGGAGGACCTCTGTCTTCTCTGGATCAAGCCTCAGACACTTGGCCCTCATCCAGTCCATCACAGCTGCCAGGGACCGGTCCAAGATCTGTGTGGCTTCCTTGGAATTAGGTGGAAAAGGGTCTTAGTAATAGAATCTGTCTAACATTAAACACAGTGTGCATGTTTAAAATCATGTTTTAAAAGTTTTAAAAATGATTGAATCATTTGACAGGTTTTAAAAAATGAGTTAAAAGAACATAAAGTAGTTTAAAAATAAACTTTTCCTCATTTCTTTTCCTACAGTGAAAAACAACAAAAAAGTTAATGTTCTGGGATGATAGAGAATGAATTGGAGCTGTTTGTGGGAAGAAAACAAACCAAAAGGAAACCCAAAATAGACAGATAGGTATACAAAGAGGACTTATTTCCATGTATTAGTAGATGGCGTTTTTTTTTTTTTTTTTACAAAAATCTCCTCCTCTTCTACAGATTTTCAAGGATGGCTGCAAAACTACCAAAGAGTTAAATCCATAACTGTTTATATACTACAAACCATGCAATTTTTTCTTCCCCTGGGATGAACAATTGAGACTTTCTTTATACTTTGCTTGTAGGCACATCATGAGTTTTGTGGATGACAGGGTGAAACTAGCAGCTCCTTTTCAACAGTTTCAGGCTTTCATAAACAAAAAAGGAGACACATCTTCTTTTCTTTTTCTTAAAAAGCACTTCTTTGTTGCTATTACTGTCATTGTATATCTTATATTTTTCTTCTATAGAATGGAATATATTTTTAAATTCTAAGGAAGTCAGCAGCACCTTTCATTCATTACCATGAACAAGGAGGAGGAGATGAGGTGCGATCATCAGAACTTTGAAATGGTATTTTTTGTGAGTGCCATAACTCATAGATTCTCCAAATTATAGTAAAGAAAAGGAACATTTTGAAGCTCTGCCAATCACACACATGATTCCTTCTTCAGATGTCCACATATTCAGCTTAACAAGCAGATAGATCTACAGCTGCAGAAACATGTGCCATTACCTCGCATAGAAACACTTACACATTAAGATATAGTTAGTTAGCTATCCACATGGCACACATAAAATTAAAGAAGAGTGTGTAAAAAATTACTATTTGTAACCACGGAGAACATTTCTGTATGAATTCCACCATGACTTCTACTGGAAGCTGATCATAGCATCACATTAAAGGATCTAGAGCAATGGTTCTCAATCTGTGGGTCCCCAGATGTTTTGGCCTTCAATTCCCAGAAATCCTAACAGCTCGTAAACTAGCTGGGATTTCTGCAAGCTGTAGGCCAAAATACCTGGGAACCCACAGGTTGAGAACCACTGATCTAGAGATTTCTAGAGAATATTCTCTCTAGAAATCTCTATGCCCTCCAACATGGCAGAAGGAAGTTAACGATGCCATTTTTGTTTGCTCTGCCTTCGGTAACAAAGTGTCTTAAGCTCACTCTAATACTAGCAAATGGTTGGAAAGTTTAGAATGGGAAGCCTGCCTCAGTGTGCCATTTTCATATTGAACTTGGACATTTCAAATGAGCAAAGAAGTGTGTGAGCATGTTGTTTATTTGTTTGTTTGTTTGAGTATTTATATCCCACTTTTCTCATCCCAAATGGGATTCATAGCGGATCACAGAACACATATACGGCAAGCATTCAATGCCGATTATACAATGACAAGACAGACATAGATAGAGGTACATATAGGCTCCTAGTAATGGTGTAAGATACCTTACCTCTATATAGAGAACAACATTTGCATGGGTTGTTGTAGGTTTTTCCGGGCTATATGGCCATGGTCTAGAGGCATGGCCATATAGCCCGGAAAAACCTACAACAACCCAGTGATTCTGGCCATGAAAGCCTTCGGCAAAACATTTGCATATTAGTCTTCTAAGGAACTTTCTCCCTGATAGATTCCTGTTTCCTCAAAAACATAATATAGGTGTCTATTTAACTGCTCCACCCCATACCTGGTAAGACAATTCAAGACCCAGGGAGTGGTAACAGATTAAATTACATTATTATTAATTGCTATTCCATCAACTATGACTTACAGTGACCCTATGGATTCAAGACCTCAAAGGACCCATCTACACTACCATATAATGCAGTTTCAAATCACATTACACAGGCAGTGCAGAGGGGGCCCAAGACAATCTCTTATCAGCAGTCTTGCTCAGATCCTGAAAACATATGGCAAAACTATGAACGAGAAACCTCCAAGTGCCCATATCCTGGACCACTCTGTTCAGGCCTTGCAGATTGGGGGGCTATGGATTCCTTTACTGAATCTGTCCTCCTGTAATGTGGCCTTCCTTTTTTCTTATTGCCTTCACTCTTTCCAAGCATTATTTACTTTTCCAATGTACTATATTTCCTCATGACAAAGTGCAAACCTCAACCTTTGGATGTGTATCCATGGATTCATTTGTCCTCATATTTATTTATTTACAGTATTTATATTCTGCCTTTCTCACCCTGTAGGGGACTCAGGGCAGATTACAATGTACATATACATGGCAAACATTTAATGCTATAGACACACAGCATATATAGACAGACACTCAGGCTATTTATGATCATGTGATTAAATATGTCCTTTCTACACATTTTCTACGCCCTCCTGAACAATGTTGCAGTATTTGTGGGCCAGATCTCAATAGGATTTACTATTACTTGTGGTTTCATGTATCCACATGAAACATCCTCTGCAGAGATGGGGTTGTGCTGAATATTGAGTCTTAAGGGAGTCTTAATTAGCCACTTTGAATCTCCTTGTGGAGGGAAAAAGCAAAGTATAAATAAACATCATAACAATAATAACACAATAATTTGCTGTAGGATCCAATCATTTGTCTTTTTAGAGCTCTCCCTCCAGCACCTCATATCAAATGAGTTAATTGTCTCCCTATCAGCTTTCTTTTGCAACTATGAACAGAAATCAGAAATTCTATAGCATGGGTAATCTCAATTTGGTATTCAATTAGTTAGTTAAAGATTATAGTGATCTGCATCTTCTGTGGATGTTTACTCACTTTTTCATATGCCTACCTTATATTTGCCTGCCCTCTAGAGACAGGCTTGATTCACAGCCCCATCCATGAAATAACTTAATTTTGGAGGATGTGAATGTTCTTTGTCAAGAAACAATTCAAAATTAGTAGAACAAAACTCCCTGAAAAATGCAACACCCATGTCCTAGTGCTGGGCAACTCAGGCACTTTTGAAGTACGATCCTAAACACATGGCTGATCAGGCCGAACACTTAGATTTCAAAAAATTGTTTCGGCTCAGCTTTCTTCCATTACTGCAAATGAGTTGGGAGTACAGAGCAACTCAATTTACTCCGGGGATGGAGGAGAGGAGCCTCAGGAAAGAACAAACTGCTACAGGATCTCCCAGCTGGTGTATTCTTCCTCACTGACAACTTTTGCCATCTTTTACACATTCTAATATTATTTGGCTACACTCATCCTGGGTTTTATCTGTGAAATATTAGAAGGTGTGACATGGAGGCATACCGCCTCTCACTTTGGAGTTGATACAGCAGTTCTGACTAATATTCATAGTTCTTGCAGGTCATAAGCCATTCCCAACTTATGGCAGACCTATCCTGGGATTTCCATAGCAAGAATTGTTCAGAATGGGTTTGACTTTGTCTTTCTCTGAGGCTGAAAAAGTGTGACTTATCAAAGGTCACCCAGTGAGTTTCTATGGCTGAGTATGGATTTGAACTCTGGTTTCCAGAGTTGTTGTCAATGTCCAACACTTAAATTTACTACAATTGATATCCCTAGC